AATTAATTGAAGCTGTAAGTTTTTTTATTTTATTTCCTAAATGAAGAATTAAACATTTGTAAACATGAAAATGCGTCCAGCGTATTATGTTTCAAAAATAAATATATAGGTGAATTAATAATAATATTAGTAATAATAACAATAACAATAATAATAATAATACGTAGAGATTATATAAGTTTTAGTAAGTACTTTATTGTACAGGTACAAAATCAGTCAACAAAACGAGTAATCTTTTTACAGAAATCTATTAAGTAAAAGTCAGCCATTTCGAGGGTCGAATATTTCTTCTTCTCGATAAAATTCCAGTCTTTTTCCATTTACAGACTCCGGACTGCGTCAGCGGAGGACTGTCAGATGGAGACGAATCCTGTTTCAGTGTCCAGGTGGGCGATAGAATGACGTTGCTACTTTTACGCTTCTTCAGCCTGATTTAACGCTTTTATACTGTTCCCGCTTGCGAGGATTCGTTTACACTCGTTATAGGCAAATTGACCTGGGATAAGGCTGATAAGAACTTGTCCCACCCTACAGGTGGGTGGGAGGATTTCAAGGTCAGTGTCAGCTGTTTCACCAGATAGATAATGTGGGATCCTCTCACCGTGTTGCCTTTATAAACAAATTCACCACTTGACATCCAGCCTCTGTCACCTTCGGATAATTTATTCAGAATATATTCCACATTGTTGCGATTGCGCTGAGGCAGTTTTCTCAGAACATCATGCAGAACCTGATCAGTTTCTTTGAGAGATGATGGTGATGAGTCGCTGCTGCTGCTGTGTGGATCCACTGCAGTAGTAGCAGCTGATTTTTCCAGCTGTTGTTTCTTGTTTAAAGTTAAATATTTCTGCTGCAATGTTTCGTGTTTTTGAGCTTTTTCATAAAAATCTAATCCGGGCTCATCCAGAATTTCACTCATGCGCGAATCCAAATCCTGCAGTGCAGTTTGTCTGATGGGAATCATCTGCGGTGGTTTACTCAAACTGTCCAGTTGATGTGGAGAGATTAAATACATCTTCTGGGAGTGTTTCAAAGACATGATGTTAACTATCTTTTCACGAGACCGGATATCAATTCACCTAACGGGGCTGCGATTGCTAGCAGCGGAAGAAATCCTCCACTCTGCGTACTAAGAAGTTTTCGTTTTTTATTAACCCCAATTTTTTTATCAGCCAGAATACGAATGGTTTTTTCACGCTTCTTGAAGGTTTTAAACAGAGCAGGTGAGAGAGGAATATTGCCTTTCAGAACGTTCAGAGCTAGTTCACAAATTGAGTTTATGAAATCCGTGGAGCTGTGCAGCAATATCTCTCCTCTTTTGAGGTGTTGAATTCATAAGCGTCCTAAGCAAATGTGCGTTTCTTTTTAATCGAGCAGACATGCTGAATAAAAAAAAACTAGTTTATTATTTTATTTTATTTTATTTTAAGCCTTCCTGGGAATATAAACCACAGTATTTTTATCGCGTAGAAATATCCCCGTATGGAGCCGCAGCTYATCTGGACAAGCCGGTGTTAAATCTATCAATAAATACCCATAACTAGAGGCCGTCGYGTTCTGAAGGCATTCCAGAAAAAAACATTTGTTGTTTTGGAAACATCTGTCGGGCTAAGACCGCAGCCTGCAGTTTGTCTCGCGGGTTTTTAAATAACACAATATAATTTGAATTGAAACTGATTGTTCTGCTGTGTCTACCCTGCTGGAAAATGTTCTGCATAAGAAAAAATACGCTCATATTTCGATGATGGAGATACTGTGTAAATATTTTAACAACTTCCAAATTCTCTGAAGCCTGGAATATAACATCATCTAATATCACTAAATGTGATTTATTAAAAGGAAATAATACAGGATCTTCAAAAGAATCAGGCAAATCTTTGATAAATTTAATTTTTTTATTTACTTTCTACAGATCATCAAAAATTGACTGGTACGTGTCGTACACGCATACAATATTTTCAGGCACGTTATTTAAAATACTCTGACAATTTTCTAAAACATGTTTTACAAAATAAGACTTCCCACACCCACTGGGTCCAGCGAGGATGCAACTGAATGGGTTCTTGAGCCTAGGGTCAAATTCCACCTGCTCCAGATGGATGAGTGACATTGATTTTTTATTTTCTTTTATTTTACATCAATAACTGAAAGGCAAGGTTGTTCCATTACTAAATAACCTACGTTTATCGTAAACTGCTTTGAATCTCTTTTTAAAGTTTGAAGTTCTGAGCAGAAAACCTGTCTTGTCACGTGTTATGTTCTGTTGCAGGATTTCAACATGACAGCTTTCACCTCCAGCCAGAAACCTCTCCACCAGCTGACTGATTCCGTGAAAATTGACTTTTGTGCAGGATTCGCGAGTCTGCGTGATCCCCTTCACGCGCAATACAACTTTCCCCTGTCTCGTTTTGTACGCGTACGATTTTGGACCWGTAGACACAAATTCCTGGATTGAATCTCCTGGAGAAAGTTCACTCGTAAGATCGCCTAAATAATTTCCCACCGGTAACGTTTCTTCACCCGGTTTTATGGTATAAATAAGCGAGACTGTGTCCATATACAACACTCGTGGTCCTAATTTCTGGAGAGGTTTCAACAGCTTCAGGCGCGCAAGCGCAGTGGTGAACGCTGCAATGAAAACGTTGTCTGTCCTGTTCGGAGGAGATATGCAGCGTTTATTAAAACTCCACTGGATCAGGACCGCTTCGGTGTTCAGGAAGTGAAAATAGGAGACGTTATATTTTCCTGAAAACAGAAAGTCAAACAGCTGATGGGGTTCTTTCACAATCACGGTCTGTGTTCGATTGCTCCTCTGCGCAAACTTTCCCCAGAAGCTATTTAGACATAATTTTGCAACCTGCCTTCTCGCGGGGTTCTGTTGAATTTTTTCACGGTCCAGTTGGATGCCCTGATGCGTGAAATAATTGCAAATGTATTTCTGTTTGCTCTCCTCGTCCATTACTTCCAGGGGGAATCCGCTGCTTTCTTGTTTGTTTTTCAGAAACCGATTAATATAATCGATAAAGAGTTTGTCACTCCTCTGTTCAAAATGCCAGACCTGCGTAATCTTTAGCACTCTGTAGCCTGCGGTCAGGGAAGCGTTAAACTCGACTGTAGTCCAGACACCTGTGAGCGCTCTCTGCTGCTGGCTGTGAAAACAGGACGTGTGTTGATTGTTTGTTTCCGCGCAAGTTCTACAGAGAGTGAACACCAACTTGCCACGCGACGTCTTATAAGGCAGGACCGGGAAAAACAATTTTCTCGGTGGCTCTACCGTAGCCCTGATAAAACCGAAATAGTTTTCAGGTTCGTCAAAATCTCTGTAGATTATTTTAGGGTGTCCTAACGGATAAACCCCCTAAGCGTTCACGCTKGGGTACAGAGAACAGAAGTCAACGTATTCCACTGTCTCATTAGGCTGCGTGCTGAAAAGCAGCCTTACCACGCAGGTGCGTCCCCCGTATGAAGCCTCGCGAGAGCGTAACGGTTCGGGCGCGTCGTAATTCCGTAGGAACTGACCGAGTGCTGGGTCTGATTTTTTCATATTTTCCCACTCGTGTTCCCAGATTACTTCTACTTTTAATTTGTGATCATTTTTCAAAGAGCACAGTTTCTCATTCGTGGCTTCGTAGATCCTTTCGAACGGAACGCGTCTTAACAGACACTCAGAATGAGGCGTAAAACATTTTGGACATCCGTGAAAAAACACCCCAGGAATTCAAAGGCCGTGTTCGCCCTTCCCACCTGTGCAAAACCGTCCACAAAGAAAATCAGTTTTGCAGTGTTTAGGAC